CTTCCCTCCGCGGGCGCCGCTGCTCCTGCGGGCTCCGGGCAGGTTTCGGTGCCATGTTCAGGACAGTTCTTGTTAAGTGAAATTCCTACAGCACCGAGACAAATGGTCTATCTTTGATATTTTATTGGTTGAGAGACAGTTATTCCAATAGGCTGGAGAGAAAAAAAATAAAGAAGCGCTATAAAATAATGTTTAAATATGCACCCCCCCCCACCACCACCCAGTAAAGCAAATCTACTAAAGCTTAGAAGTGATTCGGTTGCAAAGTGCTGCCTACTTGGAAGCCCTGAGTACTAACTAAGTTTTAATAACTTCAGTGACCGAGCCCGACCCACCCAGATGGATGTTAGCTGCTGGTGATGTGGGTGAGACCTTGCAGCAGGTGCTTGTCTTTTCCAAACCACAGGAACTCAGCTGAGTTCAAGAAGCACACGCGTCCTGAAACCCTTTCTAGGAATCACGAACTCTTTGATTTCAATTTTATTTAACTTACCTGAATGTCTGCCTGATACCTAGAAAACGTTTCAGGCTCGAAAGTGCAACCAGGATACTACCCTGTCTCCCCACAGGTGTTCCCTTTGCTATTTCTTTCTTCTCTTGGAAGAAAAGTAGGAGATCATCTTATTAGGCTGGAGCTACTCACTCATGGAAGGAGCCGCCAACCAGCTCAATTTCTTTAAAAACATATTAACTGTGCAAGGAGATGGCATGTTTTAAGTTAATTGCAACTTTCAATTGAAAATATATGTACATGGCAACATTTAAATCAAATGTGTAAATTGGTGTTTAATGAAGATCTTTCTTCTCAATACCTACCCCAGAGGCAATCACTGATATTAATATATATGCTTATTGTCCTCCAATTATTACATAAGCTGAAGCAGGACTCAACATAGTATATTCTTAACTGGTTGTTTGTGTGTGTGTGTGTTTTTCTCATAATGATATTGGAGGCTATGGAGATAGGACTTCAGGCAATCCTGAATTTATATCTTACTTGGGACAGTGAAATCTCAGAGGTGACTGGAATTGACATTTGATTTATGTAACTCTGATATATTTTCTCATGAACGTGCTTGAGCTGATCTATGTTAGCTCACAAATTGCTGAAAGAGATAGAGGTAATTATTTCAAGAATAAAAACACTAGAACTCTGACATGTTTATATAGTGAAATATTCAGCAACAATGAATAATAATATTTGCTTACAGTAAACACAGATAATGCAGAAGAAAAGAAATTGTTTGGCAGAAGTAGGAAAGTCAGGAGGAAGACTTAGAAATTTTTGGAATTCAAGCTTTTCATTTACAGAGTAGGTAGCAAATATTTTGAAATGTTGATAAATCAATAAAAAGAGGTAAAATACTAGAAAAGATAGAAAATCAACTAATTAAGTAGAAATTTAAAAATAACATATATGTATTGTTTCATAATGAATATTTTGAGTTTACTAAATATGAATTAAAAGCTACAGGACTCCAATTCTGCTAATGTTGATGTGTAATACTATAGAACAGCCATTAGAAATATAGCAGAAGCTAAAACCTGTCCAAGAAAAGACTTCAAATAGGCCTCTGCCCAAAGTCTTTTCACCTACCAGCCTCAATAAAGACCATTCCCTGGAATCTTACACAAACAAGCATATGCATTAGTCAGTGCGTGAGATTCAGTGGGGAGAACTTGGCAGAAAGACAAAAAAGAGTCTCCAAACTTCTTTGGAAAGTGTTTTGCCACTTATCTTAAAGCTATAACTCTGCCAACTGGAGTCAGTGGGCTATTATAAATTTATATATGCATTTAATCTGCTTGGAGAATTTTTTTACTTATATGGTACATCAACATTTCAAAACAACCTTTTAAGATACAGAACCTTCCAAGAGGAAGGCTCTTCATATGTGAGAGGCAGCTTTCCTTCTGAGGGACAGCAATGACTAGTTTGTTTGAGTACAAAACTGACAGTTGGGAAAGTCTGAAATATAATTCTGGCTTTTCTACTTCCTTAGGTTGGCCATACAGAATAAACACGAACCTGTCAAGGAAGCAGAATTTTGGAGGAAGTATATACACATTTTGAGGAAGAGCTAGAAACTATACTGTAATGTGGGTTAGTGAAATACCTTGACCACCATTTGAGTGACCTTGTCTGATTAGATCTAGATAGAAACCATTGGCAAAATTAGCCCACAGACTTTGCGAGGCTTAGGGAAATGAAATGAAAATGAGATAAAAGGATTCTGTAGAAAAGTACAAGATTCTGTGAAATTCTTTTGCCCTTATAATCTGAGAAAAGTTTAAAATATCGTAAATAATTGATTTTTGAAATTAATAAGATATGAGTGAAATAATTTTATAGTATAAAGGAAAAGTTCCTATAGAAATTTATTTTATTTGTTCTGGAAGAGGAATCTTGGCCTTTGATAAATTTCCTGTGTAGATACTATTCCCTGTCAAGATATAGCCTTCAGCCTTAGGTATCTCACTCAAAGAAATGCTGATCCCTAACTGTTGGTTGAAGTAGACTCTGCAAATAGTATTACTAGTTACTCATAAGAAATACATGCAGACTTTTTATTTTAAAAAAACTTGCGGTGGGGAACCAAATTCACTATAGAGTCTGGGAAAAATTACCTCAAATTGTATCTGATGGAAAATGGAAATAAAACAAAGGGACCCATGCTCCCTACAAGAAGCAACTGGGGCCTGTGGGATTAAAGAGAGGATATGCTAAGTGGGTAGAGGTGTCGGTAGGATTCCACTATTAAGGAGACCTTCTCTTTCCAATGGGCCATCTAAATTCTGGTTTAGGAATTGGAAGGATTATGAAATCAATTAATCAGTTAATTATATTATTTGTCAGAAATTTCAGCCTCTTCAAAATGGAAGCCTCGTCTCTGAAGGATGATTATAAAATTCAATCTTTAGCCAAACCCTTGAAGTAGGCTGAGCTATTAGACCAGGAAATGAAGATAATTGACATAATCACACGTGATTTTAGTAGTTCAAGGTTCATAACTTACAAAAGGTACAGCTGTGACCATTGCACAAATCCTGTAACTTGATTCAGGATATCGGGAGTCTTTATAATTTGTAGGAAAAGGAAGGTTAATTACGATGGTTAGGCATGTTATAGGCTCAGTCATATAGGAATGGAAACAAGCTCTTTGTTATGGCCCTTTCGCTGCATTTGTTGCAGGAGGATTTGGAAGAACAATAATACCAAGTTTGTTATGTCTGTGGGGAGTTATAGGACCTAAAATTCCTTGAGCTATGTTAGGCTATGATTATGATTCATTTTTGAAAGCTAATTTACATAGTGGAATTACCCTTAGGCCACGGATTTTCAATTTCTATCTTTTTGATAACTTCTAATCTCTGGAATCTAACTATCGACTTTCAGACCATACATCCAATTATTTGGGTCTGAACTTAGATATGTCAAAGGAGTGACTTCAGATTCCTGATGTCCAAACTGAACTCACATTTTATTCAAACCTTGTCCTACTCCTAAATTCCCTGTTTTAAGGACAGGCACTGCCATCTACCCAACAACGTGCAGAATCTCCTGTTCTCCTATACCATATATCGCACCCAAACCTAGGTTTCCTTCTGTAGCACAGGTGGGGAAATTCATCCTATGTTATAATGATTAAATGGAAAATTAAGGTTAAACACTTCATTCACTTTAAAGCATTGTGACAAACTATTTTATTATAGGCACATGCATATACATATACCAGTATGCACACACACAGTATGTTTTGTGGAAGAAAAGTAACCAGAATACCATTAACATAAGCAAATTTCAAAGATGCTGGGCATGAAGAAAGTCTCAAAGGAAAGATGATGGAATTCTTTATAGGGTTTCAGCAGAAGAGGATCAGGTTAAGTTCAGCCAATTTCAGAGAAAAGCTGGTCAAGGATGGTTCTCAGAAGAGGCAAGAAGTGCTCGTTGGGAGGAGTGCCACTGTGGAAAAATCCCTCAGTCTTCAGGGTCTCTCAGAGGTTCTAAAAAAGGAATAATAAAAATAAAGGAGTCCTGAATAGACTCTACAATTAACAAGCTCATGGCATGTTTCTATTATTGTATTTTATATCTAAGTCTTTTTTATTTAAAATCTTTCTTATTAAACAAGAGTATGCTAGTATTCCTATAAATATACTTAAATTGTCTAAATATATCTATTTTACATCAAAGGATCATGTTTAGAAAACATGTCCATTGCCTCATTTTAAACAGACGTGTCAAGGGTACTAATTACAAAGGAATTGCACTGCATGGTGGCTGCATTCAGCAGTTTATTCCTGCTGGGTGTTCAAAGGACAGTACGATATAAATTCAGTCTCTAGCATCATTGGTTTGCTTGGCTTTGTGCATGTTAAACCAGGTATCTTATTGATACAGTATAAAATAAAATAAATAAAAATGTATGTATACCAATAGATATTTTATGAACGTTTCAGTATTTGCTAACAAAGCCTTCTGATATATGATTGTACCTATCATTCTAAACCCAAAGGTGGAATTAAAGCACAAGTGTCTTCATTAATAATGTTTTCATTATTTAAAAAATATGAAAGATCCTACCCCCTCTACTTTTATATAAATTGTATTTCTGGTGGGTTTGGGATTAAGATGAAAGTATCCCACAATTTGTAGTAGCAAAGTTGGTATACATACCCCAAAATAGGCATCTAATCCAGAGCAATAAAATACAATATGTTGAAACAACTGCAGCGAAGAAAGGAGAAGCGCAAATAATACAGAGACCTCTTGGCAACCCATATCAATACTGATGTAAGAAAGGATTTTACCAATGACTGGGGTCTAGAATTAAATGAGACATTAATGTTAGAACAGTAATAAAAAAATCATGAACAAATTTAAAATGTTGGCAGATTAAATATCTGATAGAATAAATGGGGTATTGAAATATGTGTGACAGGTTGAGGATGTGAGAGAAGAAAAATAGAGGAAAGAAAATGTTTAATAGATTTGCCATAGGTTCTAAGTGAAATAAAATATCTAAGCAGCAGATTTGGAATATTTATAGTTAAAACAAGAAAAAAAAAAGTAAGAGTAGAAGAACCATGGTCTTCTGTCAACCCACCACACCTTCCATTTCTGTTCTCTTTCTCAATTGTCATGTCATCTCACAGTATTAAGTTTTTCGGTTATGCCCTCGGGTGCAGTTATTTTGGAATGCCAGCAGTCTTTGAAGACTCCTCTCTAACTGCTTCATCTTATAGCATTTCAACAGGTATGTATTTTCCAACACATTAGATTGAAAAGTCTGTCAGGTGAGCAACATGAAAGCGAGAATGATTTCTTTGCATCAAGATTCCTGAACTAATAGTGTAGTCATTCATGCAGCTTTGGCAAGATTACCACAAAAAATATTGCTTGCTTCATCATTTAGGATCCTAGTGAGGCCTGGATTCATCTTAGATGGTTTGCCTGGAAAGTTTTTAATAAAAGAGTAACACAGAGAGTTGTGAGCAGGGATAAATTAGCAAACAAGAGTTGGTGTGGCACCCAAATACTAGCAATACTAGTGAACCATGGGCTCTCCAAGGGCCTAACGGACACAGAAAGGACACAGAGTTGTGGTGGACACTGGAATGAGGACCTGGAAAGAGGGCTCTCGGAAGAAAATGTCAGTTGTAGAAGGATACAGTCACTGTCACACTTATGGCACCAAAGCATGGAGGAAAGAGAGGGTCAAGACAGATTTTTATACCCTCCCATCTTCTCCTGATGTTAATGTCATTGGCCAAACCCAACTGAAGGTCATCCTGCAGGAGAGCCAAGGACATGCAATAGTCTATAAGAACACTGTATTAGTCCGGCTTCTCCAGAAAACAGAACCAATAGGATCTCCCCC